TTTTATTTATGTGCCGAAGCCGAGAAAATACATCCAGTTTTTCCTCCCGGGGAAAGTTTGTTAATGGTAATCCTAGCGCGGAAAGTGCCCTTTCGAATGGAAGTCTTAATTTAGTACCAGCCAAGTAACATATATTTTCTGCTTTTGTTGGAGAGAGTATACAATTCGACGACTGAGGGCGAGACTGTCGAAAACTATTTTTTTCTGCTCGTTGGAAAGAAAAAGAATTTAATTCAACACACAATGGAGTCGAAAGGATACAAATAAGTACCTGAATTGACTTCAAGCGATGGACAACAACGCGTGCGACCCCAAGATAAGGTTAAAATTGTTTTGATCCTTCCTAGCACAAAAATCGGTGTAATTTCAACTTGTGTACTAGATAGTTGCTAGACCGTTTGACGCCTACTCACTGGGAGCGCCATCTATGGCGGAACCGATGAATGACCATGTTGTTTAAGATGCTGCGGATGATGCTGCTAAACGCATTCGCCAAAATTTCATATGGGGTCATAACGTATTATCTTTGTTTATATCAAATGTTCACCAAAAGATTACAGAAATCCTAAAATTCTTGTTGTCTGTTATCAGATAACCTTAGGGAATATGACCAGATAACTGGCTCAATCAAAAACTTAAGGTTGCTCAAAATTAATAGCTTGTTCAAATATTTAATTTGGCATTAGTAAAATTTATTATAACCGCTCATTCACCACTATGTTTATGGAACCAGCTAACATTTAGGTATTCGAACACACTATCCATACCAAGACATCGCAGAGCCATGCTTCAGCGCTTTTTCTAATGAATATAACGCTGCTAAATATAATAATGCATTAGACATCAATATTAAGAACAGAGCAAATCATCATAAATTTGAGTCTCTTATGCAAACTTCCATCGTATGGCCTCCTAGAAAAGCTTTCCAGATGGGTGTCTGACTTTCCCTCTGGTCGCAAGATATCTGTCGTAATTGATGGATTGATTCCCCTCTTTACCCCACACCGTCAACGCGGGTGTTCTCCAGGGATCGTTCTTGGCTCCGACACTGTTCCTCTTACATATCAACGACCTCCTTTCCTGTACGATCAACACAATCCACAGCTTTGATGCTGACAGCACTCTACATGCAAGATGGTCAGAGTGACAAGCCGATATCTGCCGCTGAGTTGGAAAAAAGAAGACTAGCGATGACTTCGTCTCTGATGAGAGCCCTGGAGGTTATCACTGCTTGCCGACGCAACAATCTTGTACAGTTTAATACTTCAAAAATACAGTACCTTGACGAACAAAAAGCGTCCTAGCGCTCATCGTGTTCCGATGGATGGCCGAGTTCTGCCAAAGAGCTACAATATTTATGCTCGATGCTTTAAAGCCGGTCCCAGACACGAAGCTTCGTACTTCGGCGAAGCACATATTTCAGGTTCGCGTTGACTTCCCATTTTCCCATTTCGGGATATAACAAATGTTCAGCAAAGCCTCGATTGTAGTTTTAGAATATACATAGGCGCGTATGAGCATAAGTATGTGCTGGTCTTGGTTAACAGAAACAAGTTTAAACGTGGAAAAGGAAGATGGTGATCTTTAAATAAAAGTCGTCAAAGGTACGTAAAGTTAAAATGTTTGTTCTATTTTCTAGCTTTAAAAAAAAAAGATTGCTTTTAGCAACTATTTTCAACTCCTATTTTTGTAGTATTATAATCGCGAAAAATTTAGAAATTTTGATATAATGTTTTTTGATGTTTCATGACGTACATCACGAAAAACAATATCACTCATTTCCGGCAGTCTGTCTGTCTGTTGTCTGTCTGTCTGTCTGGTAACCTTGGCCGCTCTATTACTCGGAAAGTACTATTCGAAAGTTGATAAAATTTTGACCGCAGTTTAGTACCATAGCAGTTTTATGGTTCTGCAGTTGCGGCTGTTATCGTCAAAAAGCGAAAAAAAAAATGAAAAGCGCCCAAACTCTGTTGTTAGATGTTTTCGGGGCTCCTGAGCACCTTCCAACAATTTTTTGTAGGGGCATATAATCGGAGGTGAGAGAAGCTTGGAGAAAGGGGTATCTCTTATTTTTTGTCCGTGACGCCGCTCATCTTAGCGCGGGAAGTATAAACTCAATCTACTTGACGCAATTTTTTTTAAAGTAGGTTTTACTTATCTTTTTAATGTACGAAGAGCTGTGAGAATAAACAGTGCATTGAAAATTTTTCCAAAAATTCATTGACTAGATCGTTCTTCCACTAAAGCACAAATTGGTACTGCACTGATCAGACAAAATACAACGACGAAGCAGCGAAGTTAGAGCGAAGCGTCTGGGTGCTGCCACCGAACGCAATTCGCCGAGCTTCGCATCCTTTGCTTCGGACCATTTTACCGCCAGTCAGCGGGAAGAACTATTTACTATACTACAACTATTCAAAACTGTAATGACTCATACGCGTGATCAACACGTGATCAGAGCTCGATCCTGGCTTCCTTCCAGTACAGCCGTATAGCGTACGACATATGTCGTTTCTGTGGCTTTGCGGTGGTCAACAGCACAGACAGAGATGGAAATAATGGCTGATTGTTCTCCGCCGGTAGAACCAATGAAATCAAAGACGCGCCTCGACCGGCAGACTCATAGGCGTCGGCAACGCATTGGAACGTGTTTCGTTGAGCGATCGCATATTGTGTGTTTTTATAAGAATTGTTGTGTGATTGTTATTGTTGTGGTTTCTGTGGTTACTGTTTTGGTTATACTTAACCATGGAGAGTACAAATGGCACGAGTGGAAGTACTGAAAGCCAGGGAACAAGTAGACGGCTTCGTAAAGCACTGAAGAGGGACGCGAAAGAAATCGTGCTCAACGTGTTCAATTATCTGAACAGAACTATGTCGCAGGGAGATGCACCCGCGCGTTGTGAAAGTATGACAGGCCTTCCAGAGTGGACCATTCGCAGGGTGGTGCATGAAAAGAAGAAAACTGGAGCTACTACTGATCCAAAGTTTAATTTGAATGGACGAAAGGCCGTTAAATTGGATGAAGATAGACAAGTGAGTGAGCGACAAGCAAGCATTGAAGGTTTGTCAACAGGTCTTCGTGGACCGTCAGGGAAAGGTCAAAGATTGATCGTAACTCATATTGGTAGCGATAGTGGCTTTTTAGAAGAGTGTGACTTGATTTTCGTCTCTAAGAAAGGAGGTGATTACCATGACGAAATGAATGCCAGCTGCTTCCAGAGCTGGTTTCAAGGGGTGCTTTTGCGAGTTGAGCCCAACTCTGTGATCGTCATGGATAATGCTTCCTACCATAGTCGTCGAGCCGAACGTGTACCGACTATGGGATCTCGAAAAAGTGACATGCAGCAATGGTTGCGCGAAAAAGGAATCCTGTTTGACGATTCATGTGTGAAAGCGGAATTGTATGAAAAAATTAAACAGCACAAACCTGCGAACATTAGTTACGTTACTGATGAGATGGCCCGTCAATGTGGTGTCACTGTGCTGCGGTTACCGCCCTACCACTGTGAACTGAACCCAATAGAGCTCATCTGGGCTCAAGTGAAGGGTTATATTGCGCGCCATAACACAACCTTCAAATTACCAGACGTTAAGGTTTTACTTGAGACTTCCATACAGCTAGTAACGCCCGAAGCTTGGCAGAATGCTATCCGTCATGTTGTGAAGGAAGAAACAAAAATGTGGCAGCTTGACCACCACATCGACACCATCATAGCGCCAGTTATAGTCAATTTCAACGAGGAAAGCGATAGCGACAGTTTATTACTGTCAGATGTAAGTGGAAGCGACGATGAATAAAGGTAATTCCCAAATTTTAGACTTACAATATGTTTCAAACCACTCTTTATTAAGCATGTGACAAATCTAGTTCACCCATGTTAAACATTCATACCCCGCCTATGAACAGCCGACTACTGGTAGTTAAGTGATGTTCACGTGAACATCGATGAGTCATTACAGTTTTAGATAGTTATAGTATACCACGAAGTGCGAAGGCGGGGCGAAGCCACTCTCCCACACGCTCCACGAAGTTAGGCGAATACGGAATGTTCGGCGAAGCTCGCAGTGTCTGGGACCGGCTTAACAGACAGTCTCGGAACCCTTTCGCACCGGTGCGCTGTCGGCGATCTAGCTATCTCCTACCGCTACACCAACGGGCTTTGCTCCTCAGAGCTCTCTTCCATGATGCCGCCGCGCGATGTGCCTGCCAGACAGACCCGCCTGACTTTGGCCTCCCATCCTAACCGTGTCGAACTTCGTACATCCAGGACTGGCCGATACGGCCGCTCCTTTGTCCCGAGGGTGTCGGGATTGTGGACCAATCTATTAGAAGAAGCTTCTCCCAGCTCTACTAACGTGAGGCAGTTCAAAAATCGGATTTCCAAAATTTCTTTGGGATCCTCATAGTAGCCGCGGAGTCCCGGCATTTAGGCTTCCGTCTGTGCGGCTGCTTCGGTATAAAATAAAGATGACACTGACTGATGCTAAATGTTCTTGCTGGTATCGATTAGTATTATTTTTCCGTGCATTCAATTATTACTATTTTTAAGTCGAATTTTATTATAATCTCAAATGGTTTCATAATGATTGAAGATTTGTATAAGCTTTATTATACAAAACTTACTAAAAACTTCATGGAAAATCGAAAAATTAAGAAAAAATGGGGGTGTCCATATAAAAATCTAAAGTATAACGCAATATCTTATTTTTGGATCACCCTCCATTTTACGGCTATAGATGAAAAGGCGTCCCCCTGTCATTGAGGTGCCCGATCGTTTTTCCCAAAATATACAAAAAGAGTCACAACTGGGGGTGCGACCTTTTCATTGGGCCACCCTGTATATTGTCTACATGTATCTTCCACCTACAGCTTTTCGACAGATACGTACCTAGAAATTTTGCTGAAATTCGTTCCTATCGAGACACAGGAAGCCGCGGTTGACCAAGCGATTTCATAAAAAGAATCATATAAAGAAACATCATTCAACTATACTGACCTCCCATGACATCTCTGATCCCTAGAACAGACGACGGCCTTGGTCTGGGCCTTTCTTCCTCGAGGATCACATCCTTTTCCCTCTTGTAGAGATGGAATATGTTAGCGACACAAGACAGCCTCGCCTTGCCATTGTGGAAGGTTTCAGTATCTACTTCTAGCTCCAGCCTCGAAAACGTAACCAATGGCGTGCGACGCACACTTACGCTGGGTACTGCGTTGTGAGTTTCGCTTGGGGGGAGGAATTTTTGCGATCGCTCTGGTATCTGAAATGGAAATGTTACGGTATTCATCCACTATCTCTACAACTTAGTTTCTTACATTCTTATAATTTAAAAAAAAATAAACTTAATCTTTCTGGAAGTACGGATAGCCGAGGAGCTTAAAAGTAAAATGAATAAGTACTGAACATTAACAGTGAAAATATGAAGCTTAACACTTTTTCAGGATCGAGGTGAAACCCGAAACATAGAAAAGTGGATTATAAAGTTTTTATCGAAACAAAGATCTTTTTATAAAGTTGCAGCCGCGTAAGTATAAACCGCGGCACTTCGACTGTCACAAAGAGTCGCCTTAATAATCGGACTATTAGGCCCTTTCATGGCTTTGTCCCAAACTTTAGTGCTAGTACCGTACCAGAACCGTTCGATATTCGCACCCTGTTACACGCATGCGCGGCTTGTCGGGGTTCTAGGATCGTTTTTGGACTGTAAAAGGTGTTGGAACGGATTCGGAATCGTTTTGTAACTAGAAATTGATAGGATAGCCAATGTTGCCTGATCTACCAATTTTTCGGCCTAGCTGTGAGGAGCTTTGGATTTTCTATTTAATTCGCTTATGTAGCGACAATGTTGTTTACAGTCGAATCGTAACGTTAACTTAACAGACGGTAATTTGGAATTAAAATAAAAATTAAATATTTTGGGTGTAACGTTTGATCAAAATTTGAGATTAATTCCACCTGCAACAGCATTATTCAAAAATCATGTTCAAAATGTTCTATGCGAATAAGCATGTATTAAGTGCTAACGTTAAAAGAGCTTCATGTAGATAATTAGTTTTACCTGTATATCTGTGGTACATTACTCGATATCTGACATTACAGTTGTCTGGACAGTGATAAAGATGCGTTTGTAAAATTTCCAAATCGCTGATGTAGATTTGTTTATGGACTAAAAATATGATCATATATCAGGAATAATGAAATAAAATCCGGTCGTCTTCGCTATCCGAAAAAAATTCAAAATCGATGTCCCCTTCGTCGTCACAACACATTGCGAAAAAAATGTCGAATCATTATGTTTTTTTTTGTGAACACAGCACACACGTTCAATCGCTATCCAAGCAAGAAAGTTTGGAGGTTAGGCTTAGAAGAAATCACCTGACAGTAGCTCTTCCGCGCATGTCAGTTCCTTTAGTTCTCGCTTCAGTGCAGGTACCGATATCACCGTAACAAAACCGTCCGAAATCGATCCCAAAACGGGTTAGAGCACAATGCAGAACCAATCTGTTACTGTGACGGACAAGGTTGGAACACTTTTTTTAAATGCGCAAGCGCGTCACCGTTCCGGCACGATTCTACGACGGGTTGGGACAAAGCTAAGGTTAGTAAAACTGCGAAAACCCTCCCCAGGCACAATCCCGACACCCAAAGGGCACAAGAGCTGTCGTACCGACCGGTTTTGATGTACCAAGTTAGACAGAGACAGAAGCCTAGCGGCACGTGTATTATGTAAAAAACCTATAAAACGTCAAATAAGAAACCTATAAGATGCCATCTTGTGCACTAGGTAGTCTCTAGGGCGCGAACAGTAATTCCACGTTTGCTCACTAGGATCGTTCTGCATGTCCATCTATGGAGGAATCACTCAACTAAACTACACGCATTGTTGGCTGCATATGTTTTGTGAGTTTTTATCTCTGAGAAGAAACTTGGTTGAATAGCAAGACCGCATCTGGATGATTATGTGTATTGATCTTCATTTGTATAAAGTCAGTGATATTTGCTGCGTGAGAAAATCATTCCTGAATATGCTGCCAATGATGTTGTCCTTTCTGAAGGCAGTCTATGTTCAAAGTTATAAATTACGAAAAACTTTGAGGAGAATTACGGGAGATCATCACCGCGTCCGCGTGGTGTGTAGTTACTACTAGCATGTATATGGCTTGTAATTTGACAGTGTTCAGTGAATATTATTTTATATTACATTATATTTCTTATCTCTCTCATTTTTGAAATTCAGAAAATTTGCATATGTAGCTTCCAGAATGGATAAGAAAAAGAGTTTCTAGCTTTGAATCTCAACTAAGTGTATTTGAGACAAGAATCCAACACATTTATAATCAACACATATTTTCAGCACACAAATTCTCACTATGCATCTATGCATTGCAGGTACCTACAGTAATGTCATCTCTGAAGCAATTTTTACATCACATCAGAGCCAAACATTGATAACTGAAGCCTCATCACTTTTAGGCAACACGTACAACTACAAAGCGAGTTTACAACGTTTCCATCAGCTACGGCTAAGTTAACATCTTGTAGAGAAACCTGCATACCGACACAAAAAAACAATATAATGTAAAAAAATCGACTTATTGTCACTTTTCAAGATACGTAATACTCGTGCGGGACTATAGAGAGATACAGGGTGAAGGGGGGGACGTCACATAGACTCTAGCGGGGGAACACGTGTGCATGTGACATGCAGGCATTATAGATCATGCTAACTAGCAGATAATAGTTAAAAATTAAAAAAAATCTACTCCTATTCCATGGTCTTGAACTCATGTCGGTTTGTTAGATACCAATCCAGCCTGCCACCTAACAATCTCTGCAATGCCACCTGATACATGTCATTCACGAAATGTCACTACTTCATATTCACATATACACATAGTATTTATTTATTACAGCTATAGTTTCGAAATTATGAGTGACGGCTGCAGTGTTTGATCAATTGCATTTTAACGTATTTATTTTTACTTTTCCGTCCATATCTAAAACTCAGTTTTCTACTATTACAAATCGGTCGTCTTAGACTCAGTCAATCTTCTTATATTTCAAAAATATACATACATTACACCGTAAATATTGAATTAGAAACCCTAAAAACGATAACTTACAAGAAAAGCACACATATCCCCGACAAGCGATTTGGACTCACTACGGTGCAGAAGTTCGATACATCTGTAAGGCTTGTGTAGTCACATAAATTATACACGTATCGTAGAATAAACAGATTCATAGATTCTGAATCATCCTTAATTTCGACTCTCAATGCGGATGATTAACGGTACAGTGATTTTTTTCGGAAATGATGTTATTTTGGACTCCAAAGGCCCAAATGAACTATTTTTTCACCAAAATATGTCTTTTCTATCAGCTTTTCAAAGTTGAGAATTTTCTCTAGCAACTAAATGAGCCCAATAGAAGCCCATTTGATTCAAAAAACATGGCTGGACAGCTCGTCAAAGATCAGTTTTCTCAAAAAAATTTGTAACGATTAAAACTGTACGGAAACTATCAAAAACTAGATTTTTTTTTGAATGGAGTTATTACTCCAGACATGATGTTATACACTTTTTGGTAAAAAATTAGTTTATGAATCAACGGTTTTTGTTCGTTTTCTTTCAATAATAACCACTGCAGCAAATTTAACTTAGTAGTCCATTTTGAAAGTCTTTTCATCGCCTCAGGAATACAATTTCTTTGTGAAACAACTTACTACATTTTTACTAAAATTCCTGGTATACTAAGGCCCACCTTAGAGATCCGCCGGGTGGTACCTCCTCACTCGGCTGTCTAAAATCGTCTACCACCTAGGAACAATCACGACGTCCATAGCCAAGAGAAAAATTGTCTTGGGAAGAGGTTCGAACCCGCGCACTCTTTCTGAATTTCCTGACTAGAAACTAAGAATTCCTGAACACCCTCTCCATCTCGAATTCCATGTAGTCCATTGGAAGCGTCCCATCTTTTTACGCTCCACCCTATGGCATGGGTGGCAAAGTATAATTACGAGTAGATGCTCAACATTCCAGAGTTCTTGGTAACAAGAAACTGTCTCCAAGCCTTAATCCAAATGTAGTGCGAACTAACTAGACGTCGGTTCTATAATTATTGAAATAGGAAAGGCTCCACAATGTCAGTTGTTTTCCAGTTAATTCTGACCATTACAGCTTATCACACAGCGTAACCCGAAAGTTCTGCGGCCGAAGCCCGCAGTTCCCGAGGCAACTTTCCGCATAAATAACACTTCTGGTAATATCGGACTGCCCGACCGAGCTGGCGGCCCAGGCTCCAGCGCCGATATTAATACTGCGAAAAGGAACATTTAACATTTTACACCGGGGATACTCAATTGATTCTCCATTAAGGAAATTGCTACCCGGCTCTTATGGTAAGCTACCTCTACAAGGTGCGTTGGGAAGATTCACCAGACTCTAAAGCTTGAAGCGGTATGTTTCTAGTAGTAGTAGTTTCTCTTAGAAAAAAGTTGACTACAAAATTGTATAACAAAGTCATGTCAGTCAAACAGGATTGTACAATTAGTCTACAGGATATACAGGTAAGTCGATTGTATATGATTTACCTCCATGCAAAAGTGCTTCCTGTGTCCGTTAGAGAACGTCAAAGTTTTCTTTTTGAAACAAATTTTTTCACATACTTTTGGATCCGATAGTCTGATTTGAGTGAAATTTGGAAAAAATGTGTTATGCTAAACGCAGTAATATTTGAATTTTACAAAAAAAAAACATCCCTACCTAAATTATAGCAAAATTTTTTGGTGTCTTTCGCGACGAATTTTTCATTTAGCAGATCTTTTTATTCATTTCAGGTTTTGTCTCCTATAAAAACATGCCAGTTACATCAAGAGGCTCTCAAGCATCTTACTATCATATGACTTATCACAATTAATTATATTTAATACTGGCAATAGTGCGAATTTTTTAAGTGAGATGTTCAATATGATCACCATTTTCGTTCCTGAACATAAAATTACGCTGCAAAAAACTATAGTTAACTTTCTCTAAGGTGTCATTGTTTATACATTTTTGAATCCTGCCTCAAACGTTAATTAATTTAAAGTTTATGAGAAACAAATAAAAAATAAACATTAACATAACTTATTAATTTGAGCTTTATGAAGGTTGTTCTCAAAAGTAATCTGACACTGACGTAACATCCCACATTTCCGTCAACTAGATGCCTACTAGATTTTAACACTTGACGTATTATAAAACTTTTTTAGAAGCACGC